TATTTACATTAAAAAAAATAAAAATATATTAGGAATAAAATTACTTTTCAAGAATGAAATATTTTAATTGTCAAAAGTATTATTGTTATTTTTTTAGACAAAATTACACATTTAATAATGAATTACTATTCTTTTGAGATCAAATTTCTTGTCTAAAAAAAACATTTTTTGGAACCAAATTGTTTTGTTCTTTTTTTTTTCTTCTTCTTTTAGATGGTTGAATTATTTTGTTCTTAAATGTGAATTTATTAGTGATATTTTAAAAAATTTGTCAGTAAAGATTTTTTTTGACTTTTCGAAATAACCATTTAGTGACAATTTTAGTAACGGTAAAAATTAATCTCTTAATATTTTTTGCAATCACGTTTAGGGAAAAAATAATTTAGTTCCTAAACTCCAAATATGTTTGCAGTGGGTAGCTGAAGCAACTTTCTCCAAGTCCAGGAACAGTTAGAGTTCATAATGCTAAACCCAAAATTAGAGAAATTATTCAGTACACTTGGATTAATGCTCCATTTCATTTATTGATGGACACTTTTCTTATTATCTTTAAAATTTCAATGCAAAAGTGATGTATTTTATAATTAGACCAATAAATTATTAATTTGAAGTAGGGGTGGGTGTGTATCGGTTGCGGTCACGGAACTTTCAATCTGCCATTCGTCTGCTAGATTGGTGGATTGGAGAAAATTAATCTGCATTCGTCCACCATTAATCCGCCGGATGTGCATTGAGCGGATTAGCGGATGGATGCGAATCGGTTTGGCAGTTTAAAATTTTAGAAATTTTCAACATAATTCAACTGGGGTACTTCCTCCAAAAAAAAAAGTATTGCAATCAATAACTTTAAAAAGTATTACATTCACGGCATGCCTCATCCAAAGAAAGAAAGTTTGAAACTTTAGATTATTACAATCACTGCATGACTCATCCACATATTACAATCATAGCATGCCCTATCTACATAAAGTATTACAATCTGTGATTCTGAAAATATAAAAACAATTCAAACCACTAAAACCATGAACAAAGTAGTCGTAGAGATTGTATTATTACATCTATATCTGTTTTTAAAAACAAAAATCAACCAGCATATATCATCTTTTTTATTTATTATTTTTAGAGTTAGATTTACAAACCAAAAAATATATTCAAGTTGAAAACACTTTTTCAACATAATATGTTCAATAGAATATTAAAACTCTTTTTCAATTGAAAATATAAATAAAATATCTAAACAAATTGAAAACACAAAATCTTACAAATTACAAGGGGTGCTTGCAGTTTGGCGGTTCGATTGCGGCCAAAAGAACTTCAAATCTGCTATCGGTTCAAAACTAGGTGGATTGGAAAAAATCAATCCGCAACTATTCGCTCGTCATCACGCATCAGTCCAAAATACGACAGATCGATATATTCGTTGCTTACCCCTAATTTGAAGCAACACTTGGACTTGCTTAAGGAGAACTAAATAATTTCTCCCAAAATTGATTTTGTCACAACTACATAATAATTATAATGTTGTGGAAGTATTAATTCTAATTTTAGCACTATCACTTACCTGATAAATTAATGTTGAGCTTTTTTTTTTTTTTTTTTTTTTTTCTTTTATTTTTTATTTTTTTTGAGCGTTAACAAATCTTATTCTTGATAATGAGATTCCATTCCATCTTTTGATCATGTTTTTGATTTTCGAAAGCACAAAACCTCATAATCATACTTGTGTTTCCTAACTCAAGTTAATTTTCTCCCTTTGATTTGATGGGAAAATTACCAATGTAATCAGAAAATTATTGCAGATTCATGATAACGTTTATGAATTTAATTATTAATGTGTATAAAATTTACCACTTATTTGTAATTTTTTTAAAAAAAAACCTATGCTGAAATGAAATTTTCCCTTCTTTGATTGAGTTTAGAAAATGAGAAGATATAGATCATTGTTATTCATAAAAATAAACATGTACAAATAATTTCAATTCCTTTCATTTTATTTTCTAAATCTTCATTTAAATATTTCCCTAGAGATATAATATTTGTATACTACCATCGAATTGTAGTCCTCGAAAAATTGAAGACTGCAACATGTAGAGCATTTATTTATTTTTTTCTGATACACCCCATTTCAAGAGAGGAAAATCAATAGACATAATCTTTGGCAATTTTTATTTTTTATTTTTTATTTTTTAAAAAGTGATATAATTGACCACTCGATTGAATAGTGACTATAACATATAAAAATTTTGAAAATTAATTTTGCCCACCTAAAGCTACAAATTTTGTTGCAAAAAATATTTGGAAATTAATTTCTGTCATCACGAAGATAGTCGTTAAAATGTCGTCCCAAAAAGTAAAAAAAAAAAAAATTGGCACCAAAATTTTGAAAATGCTGCCAATAAAAATGCACTTTTAGGGACAAAATAATTTGATCAAAAAAAAAGGTTTATTTTTTAGGCAATAAATTTTGGTCTCAAAAGATAGTAATTCATCACTAAATATCCAATTTTGTCACTAAAAATATAATGATGACACTTTTGATCACTAAAATATCTTATCCTTAAAAATTAATTTTATTCCAAAATTTTATCTCTAAAATCTTAATTTGTTGTATTGAGTATTGTTAAATAGTTTGATATATATTGTTGGACACATTTCCTAATAACTTATGGTTTGAAAAAATTGATAATTTAGCATAATATTAAAGCTCTGGTTGAGATAGATTTTCGGTTCAAGTCTCTTTATCAGCATTTGGTATTATGTTCCTATTTGATTTTCTCCTCTGTGTTTGATTATTTGCTTCTCTTTATATTTGATTCTCTATTGGTCTCTCACATATGCAAGACGGGGATTACGTGAAAAAACTTGTGCATAAGTGTAGCTAACCTATTCAACAATATGTTTTGGAACACATTTTAGTTCACAATTCCCATTGGCATCAAACTTTTCATTAGATTATGGTAAGACACTTTCTATTATTATTGATCATATTTTATTGTTTAACAGTGCATTGCCAAGTACATATATAGAGTATATTGAATTTATAAGATGGTTCCATTCCATCCAAAGTTGGAGCCCAGAGTGTCATAGAATTTGAGGAAGAATCTTGTAGGAGGAACAGACAACTTGGCTTCAAGTATGGTTGAAATTGCAGCACTAAGCTTCTTGTTTACATCTGGGTTAAGACCTCCAATGGACACCACTTCACCATAGGCTGCTGGGTCTTCACACTACAGGAAAATGAGGATTTAACGGTGTTTAATTAACGACGTTTAGTTAAACGTCACTTTTTTTGATAATTAACGGCGTTTTTTAAACGTCGCCTTTTTTGTTAGGTAAAACGACATCGTTTCGTAAATAGAAGACGCTTTAAAAACGCCTCCAAACCCTGTCTCTCTCCACACACTCTCCTATCTCTCTTTTATTTTGAAAACCCTATTTTGAGCACTGTCGTCTCCTTCTCACTCACTCAAATCTCTCACTCACTCGTTGCTCTCTCTCTCTCATTCAAATCTCTCTCGATTCTACTTCGATTCTTCTTCAGTTCGGTGATTCATCTCGGGATTGCGATTTTGAAGTTCGATTTTGAGCATAGATCGGTGATTCATCTCCGTGGATTTGGAGCTCTTAGTCTTCTTCGATCAGAGTTTAGTTGCTCTCTCTTTCTCTCACTCAAATCTCTCTCGATTCTTCTTCAGTGCAGTGATTGTTCTTTGATTCTTCTTCAGTTCAGTGATTGATATAGTGTGTTATCGTAGATTTGGGCACAATGAGATGGATGAACCGTCTTTCACACAGCCACATATGTACAAGGTTAGCCTTATTATATATTTAGTTTTCTAGACCTTACCGCTCTTGTTAGAATTGGGGTTGCAAGCTTAATTTTTGTTAGTTTCGGATTTGTTTCTGGTTATGACACTACATCTATTGTTAACATCTATTTGAATTTAGTGAGTAATTTTTTTTTATATTTGTGATGTGGAATGGGTGCTGATAGGTCATCCGGAATCACCCCTCAACACTTGAGATATATGAAAAAAAACTTTTAGAATCTGGTGAGCTGATGAAGGAAGACATATCACCCTTTGAATCTGTGTGATGTGTCTGTGCATCCTCTATAATTGCTTTTTGTCACTCAAAAGTTAAGTTATTTTATGATGTTCTGGCAGTCCTGAAGTCAAGACTAATTTTACATTCTGTGTCTCCTCGTATTATGTTAAATTGCCAAAGATGAGTTCTCTTTGATTGCTAAATCCATAACGCATTGTTTGAAAGAGATAGTCATGATGCATTGTCCATCAGCAGAAGCTTTGTGCACTAAGCGCGACCTTTTTATCTTTTTTATTTTTATAAACATGACGTGTAAAGGGAATGTTCAAATCTTTGGGAGCATGTGATACTGTTTTTGCTGAGAACATGGTTGTGCCCCTGTTTTTTCTGAGAACTTAATGCTGCATGCATTTTGTTGGATTGAACTGCATACATATATTGTTACATTGGGGTGTGCGCTTTTTCTTTCTTTTGCTTTTTTAGTTGGGACAAGGCTGAGCTTAGTTTACATTTTTTTTTTCTTTTCTTTTCTTTTTGTGGTTGACCTGAAGTTGTAGTTCAATTACAACACATCCCAATGACTAAACACTTAGCTTAGTCTACAAGCCCATTACAACACATCCCAATGACAACAAGGTCCATGTTTTGTCAAACGGAATTGTCAACACTCAACTTTACCTTACCTAAATCCTATAACATAGGTGTTTGTGTAGAACATTATTTTAGCTATTATATCAATTTGTCCTGTAACATATATTACAGATCAGATTCATTCGAGTTGAGAGTGATTAGGAAAATGATGCTCTGCTCCTTATTCACTTCTTGTTTGTCAAATGAGCTCCAAAAAGCTGAGCGTGTGGTTGGTTGAATAATGGCAAGGTGAGCCTGAAGGAGGTTGGCAACCTCACTTTAGTTCAAATCATTCTTGTTGAAATTTTCTCATTTGACTTATCAAGAGAAGAAACTGATGGACAATATTCGCCAATATCAAGTTCCACTGCAGAAGTACATGGCCATGATGGACCTTGAGGTGCCTCTTTAGTCTACATCAATCCCCAGTTGTGAATTTGAAGCTGATTGGTACATATGTGTTGTGTGCTTAGATGCTGCTTGGATATGAATTGATTTTGTTTTAATTAGCATCTGGAGGAGCATTTACTCTCATACTTATGCTAATTTTGATATTTCAGTTACCCTTCAATCTTCATTTCCCATATCATTGTAATCTCTCTTGTTCTGTTCTTTTCCCAATAGCTTTTTTTAAACTTTTTTTTATACCCCCTTTCAGTGTGTGTTACAAATCGCTTTTTTAAAATTTCTACTTGAAAGAAGGGATTCTTGCTTTAAGATACTAGAGAAAACAAAAGCATGTAATTGCATTTAATGTAGCCTTTGAAAGTAATAAAAATGGATGTGGGAGATGGGAAATTTCTGTCCTTGTTGTTTATTTTATTTTATTTGTTTTAAATCTTTTGTTCTTTCTAATTGCTTTGGTTTACAGGAGAGGAATGAAAGGCTATTTTACAAGCTTCTTATTGATAATGTTGAGGAACTTCTTCCTGTTGTCTACACTCCAACTGTTGGCGAGGCTTGCCAGAAGTATGGGAGCATTTTTGAGTGCCCTCAGGGTCTTTATATTAGCTTGAAAGAGAAGTATGACTTTCTTTCAGCTGTACATGTTGCTTTTTTCACACCTCACGTTAGCAGAATCCTCATGCACTAGGTCATTTTTGTAAGTAGTATGTTACTTTTGCAGAGGAAAGATTCTCGAGGTATTGAAAAACTGGCCTGAAAAGAACATTCAAGTTATTGTCGTGACTGATGGTGAGCGAATTTTGGGACTTGGGGATCTTGGCTGCCAAGTGAATGTTCATTTTCCATTTTGTTTTAGTACATAGATAATTACCTTCCAAATGCATAATTAATTGTAAAAACCAAAAGGTAGAGTATTTACATGACAGTTTTTTCAGTGGTTCCTTGTTCGCATTAGTTATGGTACCAATCTAATACATATTTATCTTCTTCCTATGTATTAATTGGAATGTGTCTCTGTCTATTAATAGGCAGGCATTTAATTCAGATGGCCTGTTGTGGCAAACGCCTGTTAAAATGCATTTGTAGCTAATAACAAGCTTAATTTTTATCAGGGGATGAGGATACCTATTAGAAAACTGGCTCTGTATACAGCACTTGGCGGAGTTAGACCTTCTTCGGTAAGTGTCACCAGCGAATCATATACAGTTGTAGATGCTCATTTTAGTATATCTTATTTGAAACCTTTACTTCAGTACCGATGAAACTGTGTTAATATGTGTGTTTAATTTTCAGTACTGTGTCAAGAAGTAAATGCCATGCTTTAGTTGTCAGCTTGACCATATAATATTGATTGGTTTTAGCGCTATCCTCTCCTTTTTACCATTTTAGTAACGATCTGTGAGTGTGGGAAGTGGTTCTTCTTGCATCATTTGACTATTTGGGACAATAATCCTTTTTATACTGGGTATGGTCTTTGTATTGAAAAACATTTGTTGAGAAGGTCATTCTTAGGACAGATAAGGTTGACAGTCGGCCTCAAGGATTTAGGGAAGAAGCTTTTCTTTATATAGCCTTCTGCAGCTTGAAGCCATAGTTCAATTTTAAACTGTTTGGTAAAGATCATGGGGAGGACTGAGTGGGTGTTGGTAATGGAAAAAGTTTTTTTCATATCTAATAATAAATTAGGTACATTTTCATTTTCTCTTATTAATACAATGATGTGGTGGAAAATCTTCGGAAAGACCATGGTACTCTTGTGGGAAATCTATCTGATTTTTGTTTTTGTTTGTTTGTTTTGATTTCTGACTGCAGGGAGTATCTTTTTCCCATGGCTGACATTATAACTCCAAATTTAAAAGAAGCATCTGCTTTACTTGGTGGTGTTCAATTGGAAACAGTCGACGACATGCGTTCTGCTGCAAAATCTATCCATGACATGGGTCCACGGTTAGTGCTTTGCATTTGAGTTTTTATTCTTTTTGAGTTAGGCTTATCAGAAGCTGCCAAACTTTTCCACAATCCCTCCAAAAGTAGGAAAAATTATATTTCGACACCTTGTTGTTTGGCACCAAGTCACTTTAGCGTTGAATTTACTGACATGACACTTATCTAGTCTTTGTGAAGGTAACTGACACGTCACCTTTCTCATGGATTCAGTAGAGTCTATTAGTAGAAGTTTGGGCAATGATAAAGATATGAATGCCAATTGTGATTTGTGAGAGGGAGGTTTAAGTGTCATGCTAGGCACTGTGAGAGGCAGGTTTAACTTTGAGTTTGCATAGTCAATGTGTACATATGGGCTTGCTCTTTTATTTCTTAGAGCAGATTTGTTTTACAAAGACTAGACAAGAAGAAGAATTGTAATTCGTAACAGCTTTGTTTTTGTTTTCAGAAATGTACTTGTCAAAGGAGGTGACCTCGCTTCTTCATTGGATGCTGTTGATATTTTCTTTGATGGTATGCTTAATGTATTCATTGGGGTTTTTGAGTTGTAACTGTGTGTATCTCTAGGCGGTGTCTTTTGCTAATTTGATTTCTTGATTTGATCTTCTAGGAGATAATTTCTATGAGCTGCGTTCACCACGCATAAGAACTCGGAATACTCATGGAACTGGCTGCACTTTGGCTTCATGTATAGCAGCTGAGCTTGCAAAAGGTTCTTTAATGCTATCAGCTGTTAAGGTAATCTATTATATGTTTGTATTTCTGGAACTTCTAACAGTTATGTGTGCATTGCACCAACAAAATAAATAAGGCTGCAATTTTTGTTTTTGAATGTAATAATGGTGGTTTTGAGTTCAGTTTCACTGTTGACATAGACCCAAGTTACATCCAAAGCTTAATTGATCACTTGATTAAGCTTATTGCCCTCACTCAGTCAAACCAGAAAGATAGAGTGGCATTTTCAGCAGATAACTGGCCTATAACTTAATATATGAAAAGACCTTTGGCAGGGTAAAAAAAATTGAATACAAATCCACATAGCGGGCTCCGTATTGAGGATTGCTTTTGTTGCCATTTGCTTTGTGACATTTGTCACTATCTGACTAATGCACTATTTGACTGCTCATGTTTACGTGTTTTTTGAGTTAATGTTCTTGAATGTTGTTGCTTGTTCTTAAAATATTAAATATGTACCTTGGGGAAACCGTTTTTGCCTTTCATTTGAAACAACAAGGGGTCAAAATTCAAGGAAATGAAACATGCAATTTACTTAATCGGTCATGTGACTAATTTTGGACATTTTACCTGGCAATACTTTACATTTACATTGTTACCAGATGCTTAAAAGGAAGATTACTATTGTTATTCACCCAAAAAAAAGATTACTATTGTTATTATGGTGGTTCATATTGTTATTTATTGAAATAAATGAAAAAACCAATTTGAACCTAGACAGAGTAATCTGATTATCACATTGTTTGAGCTTGAGGGATCATTTATCAATTCACTTTTTGCAGGTGGTTCATGTTGTAAAATCAGATTCCAGACTTGCAAATAATGATCTACCTTTTGATATCCAAAGGTTGAGATGTCATGCTCTGTGTTATTCAAAGCGGACCTCAACCTGCTACACTTGAGGGCAGCATTTCACGAGCATATCGATGATGTTATGGGTGCCTTGTGAGACTATCGAGTTGTTGTCTCTGTTGACCCAAACCATGAGATGCTGGAACTTCACAGCAGTCAAGAGCCATGAACCCCCAAAACACAAAATAGAATAAAAAAAAAATGGGGTTTTTTTTTTATTTAAAATTTTAAATATTGTGTCACCATTGTATATTTTGTGAGCATGTGCAATGTAATGTCCATGTTTATCTTCTTTATAATTTTTTGGTAATCAATATCATGGACTGTCCTCACCACTGTTTCCTTCGTACTTTTCCAAATGGCATGGATTCATCAAGAATCAACACTTAAAACTACGGTACAGTGAGTGTTAATTTATTTAGGAATGGATCAGCTACTGCATGGATTTAACTTATTGGATTTTTTTCTTGAAGGATGTTGTATTGGGTACTATTATAGATGTGAGGGAATAATAATCTCATAGAAATATGTCTGTACAAAGTTTTATTCATTATTGCTATTTTACAGGTATATTTTTAAAGTTAAATCTTACAAAATTAGTAGTTAAAAAAAAAGGAAAAAAATCTATTGCGGCGTTTTTCAAAACGTCACTATAGTTATATTTTTAAAATAATAAAAAAGCTATTACGACGTTTTTGAAGCGTCGTTGAATGCCTGTGTGGCGTCATGTTACTGTTGGCTGCGTAAAAACGCCGCCTATACTAATTTTACGATGTTTTTAAAGCGTCATAAACTTATAGCGACGGACGCGTCCTCGACGTTTGGTGGTAAGCGTCACTAAAGGAATTAGCGGCGTTTTTCATACATATAGCGGCGTTTTTAAAACGCCGCTAAAAGTCATTTTTCCAGCAGTGTCAATCCCACCTACAGCAATGGGAACTGAACCCTTCAACATAACCATCACATGAGCCTCTGGTTTTCGATGAGATCGGTGACGGCGAAAGTGGCTTCTTTGAGGATGGAGGAGATATTAATGCCCTTCAGGTTCACGTTAGTAGATAGGTTCAAGCAAGGCACTCTTCTTCTCCCCATTCCAAAACCCTAACTCTCTCACTCTTTTGAATTCATTATTATTCAACAAAGTTGATTCATGAATTTACAGGCCCCAAACATTCGGACTTCGGTCTAATCGTTGTGTAGTGTCATTTTGTAATTTGAGATTATGGGTTCAATTTTTGTAGAGATGAGTTTGTTATTTATGGAATTTATTTCTTCCCATCATGAGAGTTGTCTGTAATTGATTGGGCTACTGGTGATTATTAGATTGGAATACTTTTGTTTGGTTTTGATTGATTTTCTAAAAATTGATTTTTTTTTATTTTTTATATTAGTGAATTTTTTTTTAACATTTTAGGTAAATTTTTTACTTTATAAATATACATGATTTAAATAAACTTAAAAAATAAAATATTTGTAAAAAAATATTTATAAAATTTAATAAATACACAAGAATAAGAAAATGTATTAATTTTTTTTTTTGTATTTGATGAATTTAAAAAAAAAATTCCTTAAATATTATATTTTTTTAATGTATGTAGGTTAGGTGTATCTAAAAAATAAAAATAAAAAAAATATCTTGAAATATTAAATTTTTTTGACTAAAAACAAAAAGAAAAAAACACGAAAAATAAAAAACTTAATCTTCTAAAAAGTTGGCTCAATTTTTTAAAACCAAATAAGGTATTGTTAGCCTAAGTGATTGGTTTGATGTAAGGATTGAGTTCGTTGTCTAAACTCATGAGGTCTATCATAGATCTTATTTTAATAATTTAAATTGTTAATTTTATAAAATTTTTCGCATATATCATCTAAAAAAAGTTTGATTTCTCTTAAGTTGTCATCTTAATAATGCTTAAGCTTGATAAGTCTATTTTTTGAAGCCCAACGCTCTAAAACAACGCTATCTCTTAACCATAGATTTGATGTACAGTTAATATCATAAAAAAAAAGTTAATCTACGAAATCAAGGTATAATAAAGGGGAATTACTTAAGAGTGGAGTAGAGAAAAAAAATTATAAATATATGGGAAATGTAAATAATTATGTGGTAGGGTGCAAGTAAAAAAGTTGTGAGGGTACAAGTTGCACCCCATCATGTTCGTATAATTTCTTTTTTTTCCTTGTTGCACTGTTAAGTAATTTCCCCATAATAAATTGCAAGCATTATAGATTTGAAGTATCTATCATTAAAATGAAGTAATTTACAAAAAATAGTCAAAAAGTCAAAAAAATATCTCAAACGAACGCTAAGTATATCAAATTGGGAGCTAATTGAGATTTGATGTTACGTTTAATATCATAAAAAGGTAATCTACAAAATCTAGTATAATAAATGAATGGGTCTTACTGAAAAGTGTTTTTGAAACACAAGAGAAAAAAAATAAAAATACACAAAAAAACTTTTCTTTGAAACGCAATTTTTATTTTGATTGATTTTCTAAAATTGATTTTTTATTTTTTTATTTTTGTTTCAGTGAATTTTTTAAAAAAATTTAGGTTAATTTTTTACTGTGTAAATGCACATAACTTAAATGCATTTAAAAAGTAAAATATTTGTGAAAAAATATTTATAGAATTCAATAAATACAGAAGAATACGAAAATGTAATTGAATTTATATATATATATATATATATATATTTTGTATTCTTTTGTATTTTATGAATTTAAAAAAAAATCAATAAATATTATATTTGTTAAATGTATCTAGATTAGGTGCATCTAAAAAATAAAAAACAAAAATCTTGAAATATTAAATCTTTTGACTAAAAATTTTTATAAAAAAAACACGAAAAAAAAAACTCTATTTTCTAAAAAGTTGGCTCAATTTTTTGAAACCAAACAAGGTGTTTGTTAGGCTAAGTGATTAGTTTGATGTAGGGATTGAGTTTGTTGTATAAGCTCGTGAGGTCTATCATGGATATCATTTATAGTGATCCTGGTTTTTCCGCATTTGGTTGTTGTATTCCGGACTTAGGTTCCATGGTGTTGGTTGTTATATATATCTTGTTGTCATCCTTTAATTCTTTATATTCGACTTTTGGGATGTGTTGGGCAGGTTTGTTATAGGTTGGTAGTGAGTTTGAACCAATAGTTGCTGCCCAGATTTTTGCTTCTTCACTCGAGCGAGGCTTTTGTCGCTCGAGCGAGCTCTATGTTTTAGTTCCTTCGCTTGAGCCAGGGTTCCTTCGCTCGAGCGAGAGTTGAGTGTTGTGTCTGGTGGCTCAAGCGAGAAGTCCTGCGCTCGAGCTTGCGTCTGCGTCTGGTTCTGGACCTGAAAGTTGCAATTCTTGGCTCGAGCGAGATTTTCTTCGCTCGAGCGTACTTCTGGGTTGCAGACCTGAAGCTTCGAATTGTTGGCTCGAGCAAGGGTTTCTACGCTCGAGCGAGGGTTCTCTGTGTTTGGTCGCTCGAGCGACCACTTCTTCGCTCGAGCGAGCCTCGAATATATCAGTTGGCAGCTACGGGTTACACTTCATTTTTTTCATCTCTTTTGTCTATCAAACCCTAGAACGGCTGCCTCTCTATCTAAACCACCACTTCTCTCTACAAATCCATCTAGTTCTAGTGTGATTCTACCCTAGTCCCTTTGTTAAAAGTGTGGAGCTTGGTGTGGGCTACATTTCAATCCGAAAATTTGTGGATTTGGAGCATTTTGGGTTTTCTTCATCTTCTCCATTTGGTCTCTTGTTTTGAGGTAGGGATAACCTACTCCCTCTTATGGGTTTTAACATAAATTTCAATCATTTTGATGAGTTGGTGTTGTTGAGTAATTTTGGGAAAAGCTAGGGTTTGATGTGCAATTTATAAAATAGGGGTTTTGTGTTTTAAAAACTCCATGTGTATGTGAGACCTTAAAAAATGGCATTATGGTTGTTAAATGGAAAAAATTGAACCTTAGGGTTAATATTTGAAAAATGGGGAAAATGCCCTAATTGTGTTGAATAATTAATTTGTGGAAATATGAAATTGAGTTGAAATTCATGAAATTAGGGAATTAAGAGATTGAATGGTGTAGTTGGATTGATTAATCACTCACCTATGAAAGTGTTGATATTATATCTGTTGATCCATTTATTATCTGTTTAGAAATAATTGCTTTGGGCTATCGGTGGAGGATAGTCTTGATTGTTGTAGACATTGTATGATGATTAGGAAAAACTGAAACTAATCACATTGAATAAGTCATTGAATGTGATGGTTGGAATAATACAGCAAATGTGTGTATTGATTGATCATTGTATATGTATGTTGTATGGGAGGAGATAGGGGATGTACTCCATGGTTTGGAAGGAGATAGGGGATGGACTCTCAAACCTGTTTGGGAGGAGATAGGGGATGGACTCCATTGATACAACAAATCTGTGTATCACTTGAAGTATGGAAGTGTTTTAATATGAGTTATATTCTCATATGAATTGTGAAGAATGGAAGTGTTTTATTATGAGTTGTTGTCTCATTTAATTGTTTGGCCAGGTTCTGAGCCATGTTTATGAATTGAATTGGTTAAGCAAAGGAAAGTGAAATGAAACATGTACATAATTGTCATGGAACTGGATGGTGTTGTAAGCTGGTTTATAAATGTTAGCCATTTTATCAAATGCTAGCCATTTTATCAAATGCTAATGTTTTAGTTATTGCTCATATCTGGTTTAGTATATCTCTACTGAGCATTGGCTCACCCTATATAGGGCATCATTTTCAGGTTCATGTGATATGCCACCTAGAAGGACATAGCTTGGGAGACTTAGAGGCTTGAAGATCTTTTTGTTGTCTTGTTTATGTATTACATGTTAATCAAGCCAAGGGCTTATTTTCTATAAAGAGTTAGAACTCTTCTTTTGATGAACCCAAGTGTTGACTTGGAAAGTTGTGAGCCCATAGGGCATTTACTTTTGTTGTCAACATGTAATATTTTTGTACTTAATACTCTGATGAATGGAAATATGCCTTATTCTCTTATGTCTATGCATGTCAAGAATGTTGGGTTTATATGTATTATTTGAGGGCGTTACATCATTTTAATAATTCAAATTGTTAATTTTATAGAAATTTTCGTGTATATTATCTAAAAAAAAATTTAGTTTCTCTCAAGTTGTCATCTCAACTTGGGAGAACGTTTAAGTCTGATAAGTCCATTTTTTGAAGCCCAACCGTCTAAAATAACACTTTCTGTTAACCATAGATTTGATGTACATTTAGGGTTATTTTGGAAAGAAGGTTAAAAGTTCGCTTTTTAACTTTTTTTTGGCTTCTTTTGAAAAATATATGTAAAAAAATATGAGAGATGATGTGATTTAAAATGGGTTAAAATCTGAAAGATGGCTTTTAATCCTCTTCCCAAAATAGCCATAAAAAAGGTAATCTACAAAATCAAAAAATCAAGAAAGGGAATTACTTAAGAGTGGAGTAGAGAAAAAAAAATTACAAATGCATGAGATGTGTAAATAATTTTGTGGTAAGGTGCAAGTAAAAAAGTTGTGAGGGTACAAATTACACCCCATCATGTTTTGTATAAAA